CACACACACACACACACACACACACACACACACACAGCCCATTAGCTGGAGTGGCATCTGCTTTAAATTGTACCCATCTGAGCACTTGCATGGTCTCCACATCCATGAATCGGCCAGTGCTAATTGCGGTGCCACATGTCCCTTCGATGCAAGCTGCCACCCTGAGGTATAAAGAAAGATGGGGGATTTTTTTTTTCATAACTTCTTCTGCCCCAGAAACTTTGGCTTTATGAGCTTGTTGTCATATACACACACGTGTAGTCATTTTTAACAGTAATAGGTAAATGTACTGTGTGTGTGTGTGTGTGTGTGTGTCGAGGGGACTGATGTATGATGTATTATTCATGGTGAGGAGGGGAAAATGTGTTTCTTTGATATGAGCCCTCCTTTTACTAGTGATGTAACACACACACACACACACACACACACACACACACACACACACACACACACACACACACACACACACACACAGTGACGGCCAAAACTACAAAATCAAAGTTGCAATAAAGCAGAATTATCCATAAACTCAACACAACAATCATTATCTATCTCACACACCAGCACCGGTACAAACACTTGTGAGTGTGCTTGCATCTCTGTGTGTGTCTGCGTCCCCGTGTGCGCTCCATTATAAATAATAACCCGAAGGAGACATCATTTTACAGGTTATTAGGCAGACTTATCGTAGCCTGACGTTTTTGCTGACTGTAATTATTTTTCAATATATTTAATTCAACCACATTCCCTTTGTTTTTGTTCCATACGATGACTCGTGGGCGATGCGTTCTGAAAATGGAGACGGAGCATGAGGAACGCAGCTAAATCAACATAATGGAAAAGTGGAAAGTGGATCCTCTGGGAGGAGTATCCAAATGACAAGACATCTCTTTGACTCTATCACAAGCAACATCATTGTTCCAGATGGGTGACGTGGAGCAGTACTTTGCTTGCAATGTGCACAACACTTGAACTTTTCAGCATTATTAGATTAGGTGATTAGATGGAACCTTAATGGCCCCCGTGGGGAAACTGGGTTTGTTGCAGCAACAGGAAGGAGAAGGATGTTGATCAGAGTTACACAAATAGAAGGTATTGAAGATAATGCTACTTGTAATTTGAACAAGCGAGCATAATGGCTGACAGATTGCTAAGCTGATTTGCAATGGACACGGAAAGATGGAGCAGCAGCTAGTTCATTTAAAAGGGTGTGGATATCAGGAAATATGTCGAGAGCTGTGGTTCTCCATCTACACACCTCCCCTGGGGCTTTATTCCACTTTAAACTTTTGTAACGCAGAACAGTAACAAGCACAAATGATGCCGCTGATGCCTTCCAACGCAATGTTCGCCATCAGAAGAGAGAGTTTGCTGTCAAGTTTTAAAGGGACGTTCTTTGATGCTCAGAGCGCCACAGACTGCATTCTCCTCCATTGCACTGGAGTGAAGGCAAGAAGCTCAGAGACAGACAAAACAAGAGCAAATTAGACCAAACAGCTTTGCTATAGGATATCCTCCAACTAGAATGCCCCTAAATCGAGAGCACACCAATCTGTGCACACTCATAGATATTAATTCATCATCTATATCCTTGGAGGATTGTGGGGGGTGCTGGAGCCAATCCCTGGCGAGAGGCGGGGTGCACCCTGGACAGGTCGGCAGGGTATCACAGGACCAACACACTGACATAAACTCATTCACTCTAAATGTGCCTGAGTTTGTTTTTCATCAAGATCCATCATTTCTGTAGTTTCTGCATAATCTTGATTACAAATCAACAAATAGACAAGGCAGAAACATAACCTCCTTGATGTAAAAATATGTTTCTATAGGAGGAGGGGAACCAAAGGCAACAACACAAAGGGTTACAACAGAAAGTTTGTCTTCAAAAAAAGGTTTAACTTTTTCTGTTGTTAAAAAGAAAGGAAAATGGAAATGGCAGAAAAGAAAAGATACGGTCACAACAGTGGAAGTGCACTAGAGCCAATCTAACTCAGCAGAGCCAACGCTCAGCAGTGCACACATTCATAGATACAGTGTCGGTAAATATGCCTGTTTTTAATCAAGCTCCGTGAATTATTACTTGGGAAATTGGTGAAAAAGAAAGTAATGAAAAATGTCTGCCACTGTCTTCCCGCCATCCTTCCCCCAAGTTTTGTGGAAATCCGTTTTTGCGGATTCCTGCTCACAAACAAACGATCAAACTCAACACAGAAATCTCATCTGTCACTTGATGATTTTAACATTAAAGTGTTGCTTCCCTGGTTATTTACAGTAATACGGAATAATGCAGAGGGACATATTTTTCTTCTGCTTTCATAAAACATTCACAAACCTCCCACCCTTGTGTCCCCAAAAACAAATCTGTAAATATTACTTTTACAACAGTAAACAGTAAGAGACGTCTTTAGTTATTTCCTTTCTCCTTTGCAATCATAGTGAAGAACATACCCTTACTGTGAAGGTTGCATTCACTTTAACTCAGGTAAGGCAGATTTTTGAGGTGAGTGTCGAAAATGAAAATGAAGGTAGGACAGTATTCCTCCTGATGAAAGCCTGTCTGCTTTCATCTGACTGTGCTGGAATGTAAAAAAAAAAAGGCGTCATTACACTCTCCATTATGTGAAGCAGAGCAGCATTAAATGAGGGACCTGCCAGTCACCTGTAAGGATCTGATTCATTCATGTATAAAGACGTTCCACCATGAATGTAACTTCTCTTCAGGTGCTAATGACTAATGAGCTCAGAATCACATTAAACCTGCTGCTGCTCTTTCATTCGTCTCCGCTCTGCTGTCTTCATGACAAAGAGAAGTGGGACGTGGACGCCCTGATGCTGCCGTCTTTACATTTTACAGACACCAGGTTACTGTGGTGGTTTTTATCTTTATTCAACAGTGTGGTGTTTCAGTTTGAGAGCAGGACTTATTGATTTTGCGTTCAGATTTTGTTATGCTCTCACTCAAAACCCTGCACTCACACTCAGACCCCTGCTTGTGTTTAGATTTCCTGCGTGCAGCTTCAGCTCTTCTCCTCAGGCTCACGTTTTTTTCTTATGCGCTTGGATTCTTTTCCGTCTGGCAAAAAATTCCCCAACCAATAGAATGCCACGAGTGGTGTTGACAAATGAAATTGCTCCTCCCTTGTTTTGTTTACTTTTGCTTTTCCCATAAAATACTAGAGGAAAGGAAACTGGGCGGCTTCTATTTAGTTTTTATAGCTGCTCGCAACAGTGTGCATTTAACATAAAAAACATGAGATCCTTGGCTTTGCCACTCCATGTTTCATCAATCTGCTGGACTCCTGCGCCATAAAGGTGTCATACACTGACATATAAATACTCGCCCGTACAGGACTCTAAGAGACATAGAGCTAACACACCAATGAGGACAGAACACCTGGCATTCTACTGGTTGGGACATTTTGAAAGCCTTGTACTGCTGATTGTGGTTGCTGATCACCTTTATGAGCCAACACTCTCCTTGTTGGAATAGCAAAGGCCGTGTGATGTTGTTGAGCGTCTGGACACAAGCCTGCATCCCTCCGCTCCTACTTTCTGCATTGAATTTAGCATGTGAGTCTCCATCAGGAGCGTGGGGGTAGAAAAACAAGCATTCAGAGGGGGACTCATTAGGTGCATGAAGGCAGACTGATGGAGCCAGAAGACATGAGGAATGAGCCAGGTAAAGCGAGAGAGATGGATGTCCTCCTGACGCCTGCGATGTGACTGCTGTACATGTTGTGTGACAGCTTTGATTAAGATGCTCGCTGGCTGCCTCTGCTCCGGCTCTGCGTCTCGCTCTCTGACGCTCGCACACAAACACGAACCCAAGCAATACGCTGGAAGTGGATGTCTCAGAAGCCCTCAGCCAGAATCGACAACACTTTACATGCAGAGCTCGGTTTCTGCGAGGCCTTGTAGGGCTGACGTCAGCATGCTAACAAGCATACAATGACACGGTAATGAATGAGTGCCTGAATGTCTGATGACATATTTAAGTGGACTGAATGTTTTTTTGCATGTTTTAGCTCTTATAACTAGAAACAAGTGCAGTGGCCGTTCTACATCAGCCTGTTTGGAACGGGCTGTTTGTTTGGTCTGTGGTGATGCTGGTTGCCGAACCCGATTAAACACGACCTAATTTGACGTGAGAGTAAATGGAAGCATTCGTATTATTGCACAGGGGCAGAAAATGCAGAAAATGCATTTGATTCCCCCGTGACGAAATCGACTTTGCCTCGCCAAAACCAGGTTTCTCCAGATAGGATATTTTTTGGCCTAATTGCTGCCAGCGGCTAAATCCCATCCATTTGCATCGATCTCCTTTGAAGAGAGATGCAGATGAGCTTAACGAGTGTGCTAATTATGCTCGCTCGGCGTGGGGAGCCTGCTGTTCCTGCAACTTTGTGTGAGTGTGTTTGTGTGTGTGCATGCATATTTGAGATCTTACGCCTGTGCATGCCCGAGTGTTTGTTTTTTGTTCACCTATAAATGCCGGGGACAAACAACTTGACATTAAAACAAGAGTGACTTGAGTTCCAATCGGAGGCGGAATGTGCTGCGAGTGTATTGTTCCGAGCTACACACAATCGACTCAGTTTCAGAGACGACCTGCCACACTGTCAACAAAAGGGAGAAAATGGAGCTGTTTTGGAGAAAACATCCACGGAACAATATTTTTCAGTGTTGACATGAGAGTGGAGACAAATACCATTGTGTGTGTGTGTGTGTTTGTGTGTGGGTCTGCCAGCCAGTGTAATGGAAATGACTGGTGTTGCTCCCCCAACAACAATAGCTTGTACGCCCAGACAAAATGTCACTCGACAGGCCCGTCTCTCTGTATATCTCCCCCTTTACCTTGCTTTCCTCGCTCCCTTCCTCACCCTCTCGTTCTCCGCGGCAAAAAACGCTGCGACACCAGGGCAAACAATACCAACATTTTGTGGACTAAACACCTCGGAGACATGAAAGCGCCCCCAACAGATGGATAATTGGCTACGGCTGTGACAGCGAAGGGCTGCAACCGTCAAAACACATCACAGTAAATGGGGAGTCTCAGAAATGCTTGGTTTCTTTTTAAATCCACAAAATCTGAAAGGGGAAAGGGGATCAAGTCACCCAGCAGGCGAAGCTCTGGGCGCACAAATGATATTCCGTTGTTTGCAGGAATAGCCATCCCTGCTGTTCCCCCTGCTGCATTTTCACTCTGAGAAAGCAGACAGCTGAAATTCCCATGCAAGTTTCCCATTTCACACAGCATCATTCAGAATTAGGCTTATATCTTAAAATGGTGATGTCTGGCTGTGGTGATTTCCATCCATCCTGCAGCCAGTTACAGAAAAACATGAGACAGGCTGTTTCTTGCCATGCATTCAAAAGTCCCTCGCAGAACAAAGATGCATTGCCAACAGATAAACCTGACATTGTCGCTAACAAGAGAAGGAAATTGGATTTTCAAAACAACCCAGGGCGGTACATTAAGTTGAAAGAAACTCACAGGTGTGCATACATTAGTTTTGAAGTGTGAGCGTGCAACCGTCGTGTAAATGTCATGTATACGTACCAGCTCCAATTTGCAGGAGGTGTACTCACTCCCTTGTTTAATGCGAGCGACGTTCTCCTCATTCGGAGCGCTTGGCTGTCTTCTCAAAGAGCTGGGTGGTTCAAACAATCTGAGGGGATCAGACACGTACATGCACAGGCCTCTGCTGAAACACAGCGCGGTTTGGCTGAGAGCGAAACAGTCACCGGAGAGCAGGGGAGAGGACAGGCGGACGGGCCGATTGAAGTGAGATGGATGTCTGCTCTTGGAGGAACCTCACAGCACACAGCTGCTGGGACTTTGAGATAATTTGCTGCTTGTCTGTGAAAACAAGATGTAAAGCCACACTTAATTGTTGTCCTTGTGGTCCCATCTGCCACAGGCCGAGATGAAAATGACCTTTGTGTGTTTTAATGTGTGCGTGCGTGTATGTGAGTTTATATCTTTACATACAGTCTATGGTTTATATGTGTATTTGTTTTTGTTACATCTCTAGGAGATTTCTGGGGAGTAAAGTGCGGTCCTAATGAAGCAAAATGTAATTTCTGAGGTCCTGGTTAAGGTTAAGTTTAGATTGGTTAAGTTTAACATGGGTCATGGTTAAGGTAAGGGATAAGGTTTTGGTTAGGCTGTCCGTCTTCAGAGGGGGGGGTCTACTTGACCCACGAAGGAGCCGGTCTTTGTGAGCTGCGTAGACCGAACCAAAATGAGACGGTCTGGTCTTCAGAGGATTTTTTCATTATTGGAATGACCAGCTTATCCCGCCCTTAAGGCTGTCGCTTAGCAACGAAGCTACAGTTGGACACGATGAGAAAGTTTTAATTATTCTTTTTTTTAAGTATGTGTAATGTTAGCTGTTTGATCGAGTTGAAGCCTGATACTGAAGCATCGGACATCTTGTGACTTGATGGTACCATTACCTCGGGTCATCACCAAAGTGCTATGAATTGTGGGATAGGACCCACCCATTGGATTTGTCTTTTCTCTGGGATTGAAGAACACATTTGTCGGCTTCACTTGAAGCTTTCAAAATGGGACAGTTGTGCTGCTATGACCAAATCGATCTGCAAATACAGCCTATGAATTGTTTGCATTTTATCTACAATTTGTGTCCATTTTTGGTTGAGCTTTGGCAACGACATACCTGCCTGTTTGATATTTTCTCCTTATCCTATTCAGACCAACCATACCAGAATGAAATGTCAGCTTCACAGAATTGCACGTCGTATTGTGAAAGCAAACAAATTGATTTCTTCTTCTTTGACAATAGCCAGACCAGATGATCGGATCGTACAGTGTTTTCCATCACAGACATTGTACTCATACAGTCATGCAGTATGAGTAAAAATATTTCTAAAATCTCAGTGTACAGCTTAAGGCTGCATCCTCCCGCATACAACCTGACATGTCATCATGACAGAGCGTAGTCTACAACAGCACAAGTACATATATCATGGAGGCAGACTAGGACCATAACACAGACGCCAGCACACAAACAAACCCACACTGGCTACAGGTTCAGTTCACAGTTGATGATGAAGCCTGGACTCATAAGGCTTATTCTTAATTGGCTACATGGTCATTAAAATGTGTTAATTGTAAGCATTGTGTTAATGCAATGTCAAAGTCAGCTAAGGACGAGGCTCGGCGGAAACTGTGCTTTGGCGATTCTGCAGTAATGCAGTGTGACCCTGTGTAATTTCAATATGATAATTGGAAGAAGTCCCACTGCCCTCTCCATGCGCACACACACACACACACACACACACACACACACACACACACACACACACACCCTCTCTGCACAAACTCTGGCTGATGAGAAAGAAATACAGCACCCCCTTTTGGTGGAATCTCTGGTGGGATTAGCATATTTCCATCAAAGGGGTAACTCAACATGAGCCCTCGAAAAACAACCGCCTGCTGAAAAATACATCAAACATTACAACCAATTCACTAAATCCGCCAGAGAAACCCACCAGTGTTCCCCAAATTGCACTGATGGACAGATTGCAAAAGCGCTGCACACACTAATGCACCCTCTGCATCGCCGAGCCTGTCACTCACAATTATGTGGCAACTTGATGCATGTGGTGTAGTTGAAAACCAAAGCCAAGTAACCTCTCTATGGGAAAAACAATTATTCATTAAAACAACTGCACAATAGTATAACTCAGCCCTGTCGAGAATAACGTACTTCAAATGTGAACAAAGCAGAGGTACAGTGTAACAGTGACTACATTTACATGGACAGCAATATTCTGATATTAACCAAGAGTCTAAATAGGTAAAATAGATGTAAACAGTATTTTCAGATCACCTTAACCCAAATAAAGTCATACTTACGTTATGAAGACATGTATACGTCTTAATCTCATTGTGATGTTTATTGGTAATTCGACATATGCAACATGCTCTGGGTGTAAAAATATATAGAATAAAAAGGAGGATTGTAGCTTTTGCCAAATTAGACAGAAAACAACTAAAATGGTAGCATCGTACATTGAACCAATGTCAGACGTAATGGTGTAGTGCACGGGAGTCATCATTTGATTATGTTCTGTTACAGGTAAACAGGAATATGAATGGAATACTGTACAACTCAAACAACAACAGCATAACTGAAATAATGTCTTACTCAGAATAATGTCATAATAGCCATAATATCAGCATATTCAACACAAACTAACCCAACACACAGTGGTGCAGTGTCTTCTATTGCATGAGCTTCGAACGTCACAGCTGACCAGCCATGGACTTGTCTGAGCAATGCCTCGACAACTGAGGTGTCATGTCAGTGTCACATCCATTTGGAAGAGCCGTGAAATTTGCCCAGTGGGCAGAAACTGCACGGCAGTGTCCATTTTGGTTCAGGCCTGGTAATGAAAGAGGCGGACAGCCCAGAGACCTACATTGCATACACGTGCAACTTCCAGTTTGAAGTTGGTGTATTCACGTGCTTTGCAGTATGGATGTAAAATATGGATGCTGTAGACAAAATGTTTAATATTTGAAAGGATCAAATGTGGCCTTTGTGTGGTTTGTCTTGCTGTTACCTCTCCAGTCCACATGTCACTTTCAATTCGCACCAAACCAGATGAAATTAAATTAATATCGCTTATACTTCCTAAATGGAAGGTTTGCTGTCCCAGAAGTTAAATTCGACTAAATTTACTAAGCTGAATGTGTTCTGTTAATTTATTTCAGCAGTTGTATATTTATATATATATATTTATAGTTATAAAACATATATTTGAGTTTAGCGTTCCCTCATTTTCTTTTATTTCCATTTCTCTCCTTTATAGCTATGATAAATATAACCTTTTTAAATACTGTTACATGCACTGTAATTTTTCGAATTATTATTTATTCATCTAAATTAATTGTATTTTCACTTTAGCTGGACATTATGCATTCGTCTGGCACATTTCTACAATATCTGTATAAATCTAAATTGTTCACGTTAATTTTCCCAGTCTGTATTTAATTTTTCCGATTATTCCGACAGCACTTGAACGCACAGTCAGTTTCACGTCTCTGCGCAGCTGCCTTCAGGTACTACAAGGAATGTCGTAATTTCTTTAAGAACGCACGGGACGGCACACAGAAGTGGAGGAAGGAAGTGACGGGGATGAGTTTGGAATTAATCAAGGACATGCTCGTTTTTTCCCTCCAGCATAACCAGCAGTTGATTTCAGCCCCGGTGTTTTTTTGTGGAGTTATTTTAGTTTGGCGTTAATGCGCAGGGGGGGAAGACAAAGTCTGTAACGCCGGGAAGTGGAAGTTTAGCAAAGGGACAGCGAAGGCAGCGCAGCCGTCAGTCTTCCGGCTGAAGGACACACACACAAACACACACACTGACACTGACACAAACACAGACACTCAGACACACAACATGACCGCCTCTGCTATCGTCCGAAGACTGGCGGCCGTGTCGGGGGCCTCGGCGGTGGCAGCCGGGGCTTACGGGGCTCACGGTAGGGACTCTCCGTTCGCTTCCCTGTTTAGCTTCTCATTCAGCTAAACAGTAAACACAACCTGGGAGGACTGTTATGTCAGCGCCAGCCTCCGTCCCAAAACATGCCGATTCAAGATTCACTCCCTTATTAACGCTTTCTCGTTATTCAAACAGACATACAAACACATCCTGCCACTCTTCCATAGGTTAGTGGTTAATTCGGTGCGTTAACAGATGTGAATAACCCGTTTTGTAATGAAGGTGACCCGCCTCCACAGAGTCATGGTGATTTTCACAACATCATAAAAGTGAAGTCATTATTGCCACTGCAATCGTAATGTCATGTTCAGATTGTAGTTAAGGTAAATACGATATACTATGAGCTGCATGTGTTATTTTTCTGATCCATATCTTTCCTTTCAGGTTTCAAACATGCTGATCCTGATGATTACCAGAGAGTGGTATGTAAATACTCATAAATGTCTAATTCTCTTACTTAAAGTATATTTTTTTTAAATTTAATCAGGCAGCCACATTGAGATGAAGATCTATCTTCCAAGAGAGGCCTGAGAACAAGAAACATTCCCGATCAGCAACAAGCAATTAAACATGAGCAACAAGAAAACCCAATAAAATAGATTCATTTGGTTTCATTTAGTTATTTTATGCTATAAAATAGGGGGTGAGGTGTCATAGTTGACAAGATGGCAATGTCTGTATCCGGGATACTTTGGCTTCATTTTCGTACAATGGATGGAAATGCATCGTCCATCTTTATATACCGTCTGTGGTCGGATCTGATAAACTTTACCTTGTGCCATTGGAGAACTCAGCCTGATCGAAAACGATGCACTCGGTAGTTGCCCATCCTCTGTCACACTAGTGGTTTATAAAATATCCTCTCGCTTCGTCAGTTTTACAGAAAGTCTTGGAGCCTCTGAAATGAAGACTGATTGGAGAGTGCAGTATTATTTTCTGAAAGCTGTGTGTGTGTGTGTTTTCCTCTCCAGCTCTTTGAAACAGCCAACAAGTACCATTTCTACCACAGCCTGGCCCTGTTGGGTGCTGCCCACTGTGGTAAACCTGCTGTGGTGAGTATGGAAGCTTAATAGCAACTCTCTAGGCTGGATGCACTTGAGTGTCCTTTAAAATGGAACCAGTGTGATAGTGTCACTCTGTTATTCCCTCTCCGTCCCACTGAGAAAATCATTATTCTTTAGGCTGTAATTAAAGAGGATGATGTCTTGGAGAAGAACTGTTCCTTCTAGCCAGCAGTTAAGCACTGAAATTGTTAAACACATTAATATGTGTGTTGGTTCTACTACAATACGACAAATAAAATTGTCAGGGAAGGTTTATCTCATTTTTGAAGTCTAAACTAAATGTGTGAACAGCCTCTATGTTAAATGCTCTTGTGCCTCCCTTCTCTGCATGTTCACAGGCTGGTACCCTCCTTATAGCCGGCATGGGGATGTTCTGTGGCTCCCTGTACCACCAGGCTATGACGGGGGACCCTGGTCTGCGCAAGGTGGCTCCCATGGGGGGCATGGCTATGATCGCCGGCTGGCTGGCAATAATTCTCTGAAGTGAAACGGCTCACATCACGTCCCGTCACCTCCACGCGGCCTGTCAACTGTCAAACTACTAAAGAAAGAACTGATGAGCCTGTGAAAGTTGTCTGAGGAGTCGTGCTGAAGTGCCGAGATATAATGTCATCCTTCGAACCGCTCCCTGCGTCGGGTTATGGGTGTCAGCAGGTGATAAGGTCACAACAGGATTATCACTTTTAAGCCACTGCTGTCTGTTTCTGACCGCTGCCCCTTGACTGTTGAGTTAAACTGGTTAAGCTAATGAGCGCATTTTGTCACAACATCAATATATTGATGGGACTGTGAAAGATACAGTATTTCTTTGTTTTTACAACATTTCCCCACTGCAGTAAATCCAGTTTTTCTTTATGTTTATAATGCATGTTGTGGCAAATGCAGTAACAATGAAGAAAGGAATGTAAGGGATTTAAAATAGAATAAAATAAAAAGTCTTTCCTATATTCTGTTGCTTAATTCTTTCACATTGATGATTGTTTGAGTCCTCAAGTGATCGCACATACTGAGCCTGATCTCCATCTATTCAATGTCCGTGAGTAAGAACATGACCAAATCTCAAAAACTGCCAAATTTTTCCATCAGATTCAAGGTCGCTCCTGCATTTCCTGAGGACAAACATGATTTCAGACGGCAAACAAATGATCCATCTCGGATCATGTCTTCTAACCAGAGAGAGGACAAAAGTTTGAAAAATGGTACAGATAAAAAGAAAACGCAAGTTTATCTCAATTTTATAATCTGCTTCTTATTTCATTATTTACATTGTGTTTACTGTATTTCTAGATATTGGAGGGACTGTAGAGATACTAAGTACCTTTGTGCTCCTCCATATTTCTACTCCACTACACTTGAAAATATTGTGCTTGTCTCTCCATTCAAGCAACAACCAATCAGACTTTATTCACAGTGCACTTTTCATACAGGCAAAGGCAAACACAGTGTGCTTCATATATGTACAGGCTACTTAACTGTGGCTGTGTCTTCATCTGAATGCCATGGCCCACTCAGTTGTTCAGCTATTGTAAAACCACAGCTCTTGCCAATAGCCACTAATTAGACCCTCTTATATAAGAAACTTCTCTTGAATGGTTCCCTTGACTTGACTTATAGCAAATAAAGCAACATTTAGCTAAATCAATCCCTCCTAGGTGGATTTACAGCTGGTGTAATACCAAACTGCATACAGGCCACAATTGAATAAAGTCAGTGCCACAAACCACAAACTAAGTATCCCACTTTAGCAAGTGGTTTTCAGCGAAGGGTGGCTAAACCCACAGGATTCACCACCTGTGGCAGCTGAAGGAAATCATCTTTCTTGCAGCTCTGAATGTCTTCGCAGCCGCGAGCGTTTGATCCTCTAAGTGGCAGAACACAAAGGAGTTCATTACCCGTGGCCTCCCCTTAGCCGGGGCCGTGTTCCAACCACTCGGCATTCAAATTGAAAGTGAAATCCATTGAGCCACTAATTCGCCTTCCTGACTGTAGGCCCACGGACGGGAACCTTTAGAAAATAGCTGTATAAATCTGCGGGTCAATTTGCCGGGGTCGGCGCATAAGCTGAGGCTCCGCTCAAATGAGAAGGCGCTATCGACTGATCACGTTGCCAATGAGCTCTTGATCACGACTCATAAAACCCTCATTAGAATTAAGTAGCTATTGGGACGCGTTTTGCTACACCGGCACTAAGCGATCACGCAGCAGAAAAAGATCCGACACCCAGACACACACTCAACTTTCAAGTTTGTGGGAGAAAACTCACTGAAAAGGTTACAGGGGCCTTTGGCTCATTTGCAGCTTCGTCATCGTCATGTGATTGGGAGTTGGGAGGAGTAAAACTTGTCTTATTTTAGGATGACACTCAGATGTGTGGATGCTGTTGCCATCACCATGTCACCTCCTTGTAAAATTCCATTAACGGGATCAGGATGTTCTGCCAGGGCAGACCACATTTAATCTGTGAGCACATGAGAGACAGAGAAATGGAAAGTGAGAAGAAGGGATACACTTTCAATGTGTGTTTCAGATCACAAACCGAACAGTTGGTCCTAGTGTTTCTGTGTGGAGTGTGCATGTTGTCCCCGTGTCTGTGTGTTTTCTCCAGATACTCAAAAAACTATTAGACCTTAAAATGTTTCAATTAGATATTACATTTCCACATAACTCTATAACATTCATTAAACAAGTTCAATATCAAGTGTCACATTTAATGGTTGAGGTAATGTGAAGAAAAAGCAAGAAAATGCTTCCAGGCCCTGTTCTGCACCCCATCCCAAATTCATTCAGGAACACACATCACATAAACACAATCTCAACTAACATTCACGCATGAGTTCATTCTTGACCTTGAAAAATATAGTTTTACAGCTCATTCACTCGGGTGTCGTGTCTCCTTCACTGCCAACTGGAGTGGGTTTTAGAAAAAAGGGGCTTTAGCAAAGTGCTGAGTGATCAGCACATTAAATCGACTTGAATATTGAAAAACAGTAAAACACAGAGCTTTTGAAGTGTGATGAATATCATTTTATAAGCGCTGTATGTTGCTGTTTAATATACAGAACTTAAAGCAGCTTGATCTACAGGAGCAGACCCACTGGCAGAAAGTCTGTCTGGGGGTTTTGCTCTGCCTCAGTCTGCACTGTTGTGAGCTCCAGAGCCAGAAGAAGCACAGATACTATCGGTAGATATTGTTAATTATACCTCCAGGGACTTCCCCTGCACTTCACAAGCCTTCCTCTCCTTTATTTCTCCACTTGAGAATATATTATTTAGTTAAAGATTTCCCCCCTTTTCCCTCTCTTGCCCATTTCTTGTCTTACCCAGCAGACGGATTTAATTACATCAGCCTCTTCAGAGGATTTTCCGGAGTCTGTTTTAGTCAAAGATGAACAGAGTGTTTGTGCGGGAGAGAGATCCTTCATGAACGAGAAAGGTGATAGAGAGCTTATGGGGGCTGATGGACTGGACTGTGGACGGCCAGGCCTCTCCAGATCCTCTCCTGAAGACCTGGAATGAAACACTCTGCCCAGGCCTCCTCACATGATTACCCCGGGCCTCCACCCGCTCTGTCACACAGACCAGGGGATGCACAGATATCCACCTACAGACACACACACTGGCGATATATTAAAGTGCATGCTACGCACCACGGCAGCATCAAATCCCCCATCCGAGGCATCAATCAGGCGGCAGCAGCTCGCACGCTGAAGCGGAATGACTGTAATGGCCGACCCAAGCGTTCCCACATCCCCGGTCCTCCGGCTGACCCTTTCAAGCCACTTAAATAATGGTCAGTGCCATTTCACCCTCAGATAGATTATTCCCTCACTTCATTGGACACTGAGGCCCCATCACTGCGGCCCACTTTTCACAGCTTTACACCCAATCATTTCGCTTCAATCTGCGAAACAGCGCCTGACGGCCCGCGCATCACAGGAGCCGAGGCGAGGACACCGGAGGGACCCGCCATTGTTACCATGTGGCCATAACCACTATCAGCAGCAGCCGTCTCTGCTCAGTAATGTGACGTCTGAGGACCGTCGACGGTCAGCTGGGAGATGGTTGACAGTGACTGGGGTTAGACAGTGACATGAAACAATCTGTCTATAATGACACCATGAAAGTTTACAATGAAGTATAACATTTAGAAGTGACGAACAACCTTTTCTCCTGTGACCATAGCAATGACAGTTTAGTGCTGCACTCATCGCTGCTATTTGAGAACAGACACAGTGTGCACATGAGTACAGTAACAGTTTTTATATTTTCATATATTTATGATATCTGTATTTTATTTATAATTCATTATATTACCTGTATTTTGTAATGTTGTCTTACGTTTATAGTGCCTGTATTTTTATATTTTCTTAGTTTAATTTTACTTAGGTTTGTTATATTTCCTTAATTTTTTTTATTCCCTTATGTTTATATTGCCCGTATTTTTTTTTACATTTATATATGTTTATTATATTGCCTGATTCTTTTTTTTAAATATTTCCTTATGCTTATATTGCCATTATATTTTATATTTACCTGTGTTTATATTGTCTTTTATATTTTCTCATATTGGCCTTATTTTCTACATTACCCTGTTTTATCTTATTTTATCTTATCTCATATAATGAGCTTATAAAACACAGTGCATTGAATCCAGTGGGTTTCAACCTTTCTTGGCCTGTTATCTATTTCTCCATCCCAAAATAACTACCAGATGCCCAGAGAGTTCAAATTAATCCAATATCACACAAACAGTAGAATTTGGCTTCTGCCTCAACACATCAGTACTAAGAACCTAATCATGTGACATATAATCCTATAATCTTCAGAAATCAGAAATAACATTCATGTAGTTTTAGATTTTCCTTTCCAAGATTAAAAAATATATATAATCAGAGTTAATATTATATATATGAAATTTACAACCTCAGATAATACCTTAACCAGAGCAAGACAGTTGAAAACCTTGTGGTTTATATATATATATATATATATATAAATATATATAAGTCCTTCCATGAGCTCTTCCATCTTCCCTTACTTAATATTCCCTTCACCTCCGTTATTCTAATGTCCTCCCATGCATTTCATTCTTTTATCACTTTTCTTTTACTGACTCTGCTGAGCAAGCACTGACTTGGTGCCAGAGACTGAATCTTTGGATATCCGACCAGCGGACCATCAATTGACCTGAAACATTTTAACCAAACAGCTGCAATTTCAGCACGATCCGACTTTCAAAGGGGGACGTTTTTATGGTGCGGCACCAATTCTAAGGAGTGGGTGATGCATGGAGGGATGTGGAGAGAATTTTCAATCTTTTTCCATTTCTCCCCTTTCTGGGTTAAAATGAGATCAAAGACAGAGAAGGCAAGTTAAAAGCAACGAGTTTAGGAGACGCTGAGCTCATTTCTCCAAGTGTCTCACTTTGTCTGCGGAGGACCAGGGTTGTCTGTTACATCTCATTTGGCAGACGGGCAGCATCGCTCCTTCAACTTGCTCATTAAGGGCTGTTTGGTACAGCATTATCTTGATAGATGTCCCACTTACACTACAGTTTATGCTGATGGATCAGACACAGTATATGGCACTGTATGGACGGCTCTTCCCACAGTCAGTGTGACTGCAGTGTGTAAGGTAGCAATGATCCACCCGCAGGGCCGAGAAGGAGGCCTGACAGCTCAGAGCAGTTCAGCAGTGATGCGAGGAATGAATAACTCTGAGTGTAATCAAGGAGGTTTATGGATGTATATTAAACAGCAAATGGTTATTTTTACTCTGGGAACAGCTGGGAATCCCAGGCTGTCCGAAGAGGACGGCAATTACTTCCACTGTAAAAACGTTTCTCCGCAACAGGGCATGCGTGAATATCCGTTTACATGTAGTTCGGAGCTGTTCATTCTGTTTAAACATTATCAGGTGGAGGGACACTTCTAAGGCCCATGAATAGTATCTAAAATAAAAAGTAAAAATATATATATTTGCTGCAGGATTCAATATTTAAAATAAACAATTTATACAGATATGAATATATGCATACACACACAAACTTGTAGTGTCATGCATGCTTATTTTTGATGGACTTGTAGTGTCAAACCAAACCAAGTGTGTATGTATGTTCGAACTACAACAATAATAATGTGATTTACACAATGTTTGTTTGTAATAATTACCACTGATGAGTGAAAGATAACATGTTGCTGGAAGTAGCAAATGTTTTTCATGACCTCTAACTGTTATATTGCAACCCTCTCTCAGCTGTGTGTGTACATAACCTGACTGTGTAGCCACAGGGATTGTTATTGTGGGATGAGCAGGGAGCAGCAGGGGCAGAAGCTGAAGCAGGAGCAGGAGAAGGGAAAGGGGCAGGAGCAGGGGCAGAAGCAGGAACAGGAGCAAGAGCAGGGGCAGGAGCAGGAGCAGGGGCAGAAGCAGGAGCAGGGGCAGAAGCAGGAGCAGATGCAGGAGGAAGAGCAGCAGCTCTGGACTCACCTCTCTCTGCTGCAGGGATCACACAGCACTGCCTCCATGCTCATGCACCAACTGTGCAGCGGTGAATCCTGAAACCACTCCGCCTTATCTTCTCTCTGCGAGGACACGGCCACAGTTTTTTTTTTTTTTTAAATCACAAACCTGACCTCACAAATCCGTTTGTAGTTTTGCAATGCTGGGCGGTGCGTGCCACACACACACAGACACTAATCCCTGGATCCTCTGAGTAGGACCGTGAATACTGGGACGGTGTTGCCGGGGGGAAAAGTGGCGTCTGGGACCTGTTGGAAATGACAGCTGGAGAAGGCGGATACAAACACGGGGATCGGAGTCACAGTAAACGCAGGAGAAGATAGCGAAGAGGAGCCCCCTCGCTGCGCCGCGGAAAGGGTGTGTGTGTCTGTCCTGTGATGTTTGTCAGCTGTTAGCTCGACGGCTAACGGTTCGCTGCTAACGAGAGGCGAGCTGAGTGCATGTGGGTGAATGCATGCGTGAGTGTGTACGTATGGATTTTAGTGTGAATGTGTATGTTTGCGTGTGTGTGTGCGTGCGTGCCTGCACTTGCCTTCTCCGTCCCCACCTGTCATCCTAGCTAGCGTGCTAATTTGATCAAGCTAGTCGGCTAATATTAGCTAATAAAACAAATTAGCTGAGCGTGGGCGAGGCACCTCACCCCCGTCACCCCGTGCAAGTGAAACCTTCCGACTACACGGTTTATATGAATCTGTCCAGGACGGTCCCTGGTGTCTTGTTCATGTGTGATGAGTTCTATCATAATCTAGGGTTAGCTGTCAGACAGAAGGCAGGCTAATTTGCCTGGCTATTAGCTTAGCAGCTAGTGGCAGCGGAGCTCGCTGGGTAATTGACCCAGTTTGGTGGGGCAGAGGCCATGTTGTCGTTCCACTCCACTCAACTTTGTTTACATTGCAACTTCTTGGTTTGTTACTTTAAGGACACAGCGTTTTACTCCTTTACTTCAACACCTGGAGAAACAAGTCACTTTAAATAATTAGCCTACTTAGCAGGGCACCCTAACACTTAATTCGAAATGCTTTAAAACTCTGGTTCTGGAATGCAACAGATTCCCTAAAGTTGTAACGTTATAATAACTCCTTTCTATAAGCTTGACTCAACCAACACGTACCCTCACCCTTGGTTTGGAGGGCTGCAATTGTTTTCATAGTTGATCAATCTGTTGATTATGATCTTGATTAATTGATTAGTTGTTTGTTTAGAAAAAGCCCCCCTCTCAAAACGTCTTGTGTTGTCCTCAAACCTGATATTCACTTTTCTGTAATTAAAGGAGTGAAGAAATAGAAATATTCACATTTAGGAAGCTGAAATTGGAGAATTTTGATGTTTTACAATCTGATTAATCGATCATCAATGGCGATAAATGTGGCAGTTGATAACTGATGGAATGTTGTTGCAGCAGTAGTTCGTAGCTGCGATTCAAGCATCAATGACACATGACTCAGACTTCTATGATGTACTCCCATCATCCTGCTAATAGCACACTTTTTGATTGTGCATGTGAACAAACAAATACTTACAGTAGTTTTCTGGAGTGTTGATTGTGTCGTGTTACATTAGAGATTAATGGCACGCATAACACACACATGCTCTCATTAATCAATGCTTTTTGTTTTTTTTTTACTAGTTCTACTCTATATTCTTGAAAATCAAGTGTAATTTCTGCTGCATCAGCATCACTTTCTCTGCTTTTAACAGTGAACGTTTTTGATGTCATATGCTCCTTTACAATTGCCCCTCACAGTCCCATGATTCACACAAGGTTGTTGAAAACAAGGGAAGTATTATTCAGTGATGAAAACATGAAGGCTCAGCAACCACACCAGTAGTTACTAATACCACTGTGACAGCATAGTGTCCTATTTTCTAAAATAGGGCCAGACATGTAACAAACCTAAATGACCTAATTTCGTTTTTTTGACCTCGTGCTGCAGGTTTATAGAGATGGACTCCCTGATGAGTGCGGTGGCGCCGCGCTCCCCAGCCCCCGCCAAGAAGCTGTCAGAGGTGGACTTCCGGTCGGGGGCCACCCTGGAGCAGCTGTCGGCACGGGTGTCGGAGCTGGTGGTGGCGGAGCAAGGGGAGTTTGGAGACCAGACCGCCTTAGAGGTTCACACAGCTAAGGACTTTATCTTCAACATGCTAGGTATTCCCACAAACAAATCACACTGGATAAGTCCAGCTTTTTTTAACTTTAGTGTTATGATGGCCGGTAGGATGTTAACCACAGAAAATGCAGTGAAGCCTATGATGAGAAACTTGTAACTTGGTCCACTACATTCTCTCACTGTAGATGATCATTTTTCACTATAGACCATCAGCATGACCTCAGACCTCAATACTTCAAGCACATAATATATCACAGTGTATCTTGGATATTGGAAGTTAACAGTGTGTTACATTATATCATATCTGTATATTCCATCCTAAGTTTAATAGAATGTGATTTTAATGCAGTACAAGCCTATGGGACAGGATTTTGCCAGGAGTTAAAGTTACTATCAATTAACTATTAATTTACTTGACAGTGGCTGTGAAGACAGAATTGCATGATGGAAGTTCAGGGTGTATCCCACTTCACAGCTGATGCTTTGTGTACATCTGTGTGCAGGGGCAGTGCCAGGATTAGTTTTCACCATACACACAAGATCTATCCTTCCGTCCTGACACAGATAAAACTAAATTGGCTACAGTATGAATCACATTTTCTCTCCGGTATAGATTTGACACTGCTGCTGTCAGCAGGCACACATACATCTATTTACAGAGGGCCATGTGACTGGGATAAATGAACCGTGTTTTCCAGGAACGCCCTGCTCCCTTCTCAAAAGTACTACACACATTCTCACTTGGAAACTGCCCAGTACGACCACAGTCCAATCTATTTGCTACTGGGCAGGTCTTAATCCAGGGACACAACAAATGTTTGGGGAAAACTAAATCACTCTGTATTTCTCTATCATGAAGCCTTTATCGTATCCTTAAGTGAATGAATGAAACATATGTAGTAATGATCCTCAATGCAAACTGATGCCAAAGGGAAACAAAATGTGATGTGACATTTCTGTGTGTTTATTCCTGACACTGAATTTTATTTCAGGCAAAAGGACAAAGCTACAAGATCCAATGCAAATGAGATGAAACACTTTCTTTTTAACAGACCCATTCAATGACTCGCTGTGTTAGACGGCATGCGCGACAAACGCAATTAACACAAGACTTAAATTTAATCCTCTGACAAACACATTGTCAGGCAGTTGGTTTTTTTTCAGGTCTTAAATGTAAAATGCAAGGATTCCAGTCTGTGGATGCAACGATGTGTACCTTGCATAGTTGAAGGCTTTCAAATGCAACTGTTTGAGTTCAAGAACATCCTGTATATAATTCATATATTCATTCTGCACGAGTGATCTGATATGCTGAGAATGAGTGACACACAAGGCCAGCTCAAACTGGTGGCTGTTTTGTTGTTAGCTGTGGGTAAAGAGTGAAGTGCGTTTGTTTGTCCAATAGGTGGCACTCTGCCCCCTCCCTGCTGTCCTCTATCGTCCCTGCTCTCATGTCCCCTGAAAGCTGAAAACGGAGCATGTTTGGTCCGTGTCCTGAAAGTTTTTTGTATTTTTATCTCGGCTCACTTTTTAAAAAAATATCTTGGTTTCACATTTTCGCAAGTCCTCGTTCTTTCTCCATTTGTCACACATTTGTACTATTTCTGTCAAAATAGTCGCTGTGCACTGGCTGACAGACGGCTCATGCTTCTCCACTGCTTCAGTCTTCTCACCACTATGCAGTCGCTTCGTCAAACAAGGCCACCTCTACCTCGGGAAGAATTCGCATAAATCAAAACAGTACCCCGGCCTCTCTTTCCCTTATTTTTTCCATCACCACATGCAAAAACAGATTTCTTTTTCTGTGCAAACTTTTACCTTTGTGGTTAGTTTTTTTTGCTGCTTTCTGTGCAAAGCCCCAATGCTCGGTTGTCTGTTTCCCCTCTCTCTTGGTTGAGAGTCTCCTGGTAGCTTTTTCAGTGTTTGAGGCTGCTTCTGGCGGCATAATCACCCTTGGTTTGCTGATATTTTCATCCCCTGTGCCTCCCCGCCTGCTGTGACTGTGACAACTGCAAAAAAAAAAAAAGGGAGAAAAAACAGATTGGCACTTTCAGCAAAAGGAGATGGTACGTGAAGGATTTCAGGAACATGGAGTTAAGAATGTTGTGGTTGCTGCGACTCTGTGCCTGTCGAGGCCTTGCAGAGGATGTCAAGGCAGCACTGGAAAGCAAATATCCTCCTGGTGGAGAGGCTTTGCTACAGCAGGCCGGCCTGGTTGAAGGAGCCTCGTCACTGCTGCAAGTGTTATTGTGTGTGACACGAGTGGCTGTGGATGTATTTTGCCAGGCTTTTATAAAGTGGGAGCTGCAGAGGGATCCCCACTGGGCTTTGCACACTGTCAGGGAAAGGGAGAGATTAAACACTCACACATGCACACAAGTGTACCCAGTGAATTTTTTTACACACTGATAGATCCAAGAAGAGGCTCTTATTTACTCTGCGTTTGAGTAAATACTGTGGTTTGCCTTCAGGCAAGCGGAGTGGGGGCTACTGTATATACCCTTTGAAAAACAAAAGTCAGATGAAGGCAGAAATAGATCTGTCTGCGAAGCAGAAGATCTGGAGCTAGGCCCAGATATAGCCTCAACCCAACTTTTCAGATCTTAAAGTTTGCTAGCCGAGTTCAGTTCAGAGTTCACCCCCCTGCCTGATGTCAGGGGGAAGAGAAACTTTTGATCCAAGTTTAAAGAGTCATGAGTGTTGTTCAGTCTCAGCTCGGATTTTGACATTTTATCTGTCAGACTTGAAAAAATAACCTGTACGGAGCATTTCACTCACGTTGTCAGTGGCTGATCAGTGAAAACAGATAAAAGATGAGCCGCCCCTGACACAGATGTACAGAAACCTCCACTTTGTGCTTTCCTGTTGATCTACTCTCATCAGCCCCCTTTTGTTTTCCGGTATTCTTGACTCTAATTTCACAAGGATCTCAGATTCTTCTGTGATTGTTTTGTCTCGTGAAGACTGACTTTTCGTTTGGTTTAACCTGCCAAAATAAGGAGATGCTGTCTGCAAACATGGGTTATTTTATAATGAATTGTTGTGATGACGTTTGAATGCTTTAGCTGCGTTGGTATGAATGGTACAGAAAAATCTCTCCTAGTTGACACATTTTCCAGTGTTTAATGGTATTTACCGTCATATTGTCCAACCCTGGTTGATGAAGCTCCTGTCGTGAAATTTGTAAAACTGTGTCCCTTTTGGGAAAGCAGCTCATGTAGCCGTTGGACTGTTGTTGGCCTTCGGGATGGAAACAGTGTTTGGCCGTTCTCTCACTCCAGCCCATTAACACTGGTAGACTTATGTGTGATGGATTCGCTGCATGCTGTTCCCGCTGCGTTGACTTCCTGCTTGTTGGAAGCACCCCCTGCTCCGATGCTCAGAGCTGACGTGTAGTTTTTAGCGGGGGCTCGTATTCGGGGCCAGCATGGCTTCTGTGGCTGACTAATTCTCTGTTAATGCCTGTTTGGATTTGAGAGTCTGTCTTCATCTGGCAGCCGGGCCAGATTCATGGCTCTGCAACAGTAGAGTGAAATGTTTTGATTACTTAGGCTCTGCTTGTCTTCAGTTCTCATCTGCGCAGAGACGCCAGTGCCAAGCAGCACAGATGTGCAGCATCTTGCCTGCCATAAGTCCTGGTCATTGTTGTTCACTGACACCATTTTGCTACATTTAGCTGCATTATTCTTAATTGTTGGAAATGAAGGAAACATAATTTAGCTGAAGTTTATTTTACACCCTCCGTAACAAATAAACCAGCAACTGTCTGCTATTAAACCCAACAGTGTCCTGTGACCTGAACACAGCCAAAGACTTACGCCACATGGTACCAATCATTAAGCATCTTTCATCGTATTAATTATTGTTAATTAAATATGACTTTGCCAATATGGCATGTTAAATGAGAAGTGTTTTGACATTGCAGGACATGTTACCTGCCATCCTGCTCATTTCAATAACCCAGGCTGACGTGGTGATTTTTTAAATTTCACAATCACACTTCTATTCCTGGGGCAAAATGGGAGGAATCCTTTTGGTCGTAGTTGTCAACTGATAACAGTATCTTGTGTGCAGGTTGTGGCTGTTTCGGAAAAAAACATCACAAACTGACGCACATTTCCCCGTTCAAACATTGCTATTTTGACCAATCTATTTTCTGCATTCACCAACTGTCTGTGAATCCATAAAGCTTTTCCTCATGCCTCAGAATCTGACACTCAAATAGCAGCATTTACAAATGCAGGGTGTTAGTGTGACTAAGCTTTAATGTAAAATTCAGGTTTGTTTTCTGCATCTGTCACAACTAACTGAACTCATTCAGTCTGTACCTGCTCACCCATTGTTGAACCCAAACTATGACTGTGGATGTGAAACAGTGGAGCTGAATTACAAAACTGGAAGAAGTCAAGCTTAGGTTTGGACCATATGGACACAAATTACATCAACATGAAAATGTCTATTTAAGTTGATAACGATAATCATCACATGTGAAAATGTAACTTATTCTTTCTAAGTTTAAAGGCTATGGTTTTAAACTCTTCTTAATCAGCAGTCAATTATGTGTTATACCTCCTCACTACAGATGTATTAATAGGTGAAATCAACTGAAATAGAGTTTGTTTGTCCTTGACCTTCAGCGTAATTGAAGAACTGATAATTATAATGGTGATATAGTTCTTCCAGCCTCTGATCTGCAACCTCTACAGCTGCTTTGCCTTCTAATTGCTTATAATGGAGCAATAATTGGGCACCAGGTCAAATTAAGGGTATGGGTTAATTACTTATTAATTACCTAAAGTGATACTTAATTGATCTGTTTGCTCACTTCTTTGGCCTCTCCTTAATCAGAACATCAAAAGTCAGGATCCACTTGTACAAGGTTCTTTGAGAAAGACGAGGGTGGCCTGCAGGCCAGAAAGAGTAAAATGTGAAAGCAAAGCAGCGGTGACACCTTTTTCTTTAAGTGATAATTAGCTGACACGGTATCACAGTGTAGCTGGCATCAAAGCAGCAGTGAGGAGCTGGAAGACACTGACAGCTTCCTGCATCCTCTCGCTCTCATGCTCTCACTCTCTCTGCAGGTGGGTTCGACACTAAATACCTGGCACCGTTCAGGTTTTTTCAGGTTCCAATCTCCTAAAATAATCTGAATTACAATTAAACATAATAAATAAAAGGTAATAACAATGTTGAAAGTTCAATTATATCAAATTTTTTTTATTTTTCTTCCATTTATATCAACTTTTTTTCTTAAAGATTGCCTTGAAAGACATCCACAAACACAGCTTTAAAGGGAAAGTTCACATTTTTTTTAACATGGACCTTATTTCTAGCGAAACATATGTTAATTTACTCACTGGTAACATTTTGGTGTTTAAAAAAAAAAAAGTGCAAAGTGGCTTTATTCAATGACAAAACCTGACAGGGTAATAACTGGCAATGGACCTCACATATGGGTGAATGAATATATTTACAGCCTCTAGTAACTTGCTGATGAACCCATGGGCTGACAATTTGAGTGGAGTGTGTTAATTTAGTGAACAATAAAAAAAATAACTGAATCCACTCATACAAGACATACAAGAGATTTTTAAAACTTTGCAATTTTGGTGGGAGTTTGTTCTTTCCCAAGCCAAGTATCACTCTCTGAATGGAGCAGAAAGTGTTTTTCATGGCTTTAGGGTAGTCTAAATGCAAAGCGTATGACAGTCCAAACAAAAGGCAAAGTGCCTCAGGTAAGTTCTGGAGATCATCCATTACAATACCTCCTTCAACAATGATGGCAGTAGACATTGGGTGAAGGTGGAGCTGATTTGGAAGGAGTTGCAGATCTTCACGGAGAACAGTCAGCACGCTGACAGATACTTGTGCCCAGGTCTCATCAGTGTCACACTCCTGTGATGAAACCAAACAAAAATATTACATTACAACAGGGAAATGTTGTTGGTAGTTGTTGTTGTTGTGTCCTGCCCGATACTTGCCTTCCAGCCTTGTGCATTAAAGGAATACTTCAACGATTTGGGAGTTAACCCTTTCTCTATCATTTTCAGAATGAGACAACATGATCAATACATTTTTTGTCAGTGCGTACTCGGTAAAAGTACTCTGTAAAACTATTTCTCCTCTCCTTCTCTTCTCTGATGTGAGGGTCTAAAGGCAGAGCCAGCTATGTAAATCAAGGTTTATGCATTCAATATTAATAAGACAATTTGTTTGCCCTAACCCAACAGGGAAAATGAATGCAGTCATTTTGAGTTTATTAGTACTTTTACATAAATCGTATTACTTGCGTCATATTAAGTTTGTTAGTTTATTAATAATAAAACAATGTAATTGAAATGCACAAGTGGCCCCCCAAAAAATTTGTGTAGTGTGTAGTTGGCTCTTGTCATGCTTCCTGAGCAATTTACACAAATCAAACAAGTTACCAACATCTGACACTGAAACAAATGTTTGGTCGTACAGTAAACCTCCTGGAGATGAACCCTTAGTCATGTATTGCTATTTTTCTTCTGCCTAGTCTCTCTGTGTATAAATGCTATAATCATAAAACATTGCATCATAGAATGAACTTGAACAACTATGACTTCTATGTCCATGTCTATGGCTCATGTTTCCATTACATAGTATTCCATTAAATACATAGGTAACATTGTAATTAAAATATTTTTTCATCAAAATCAATTAAAGTTGTTAACATTTGAAGATGTTGTCCATGCTTCTCTACTAAGCTGTCATCTCTAGTTTCTCATTAAATATACAGCCTCAATAAAAGAACGAAGCAGCGGGGTAACAGGTTGACCTGTGGGTCAGCTGCTGCAGTGCATTGTGGGATTTGTAGTATGAGTAGTGGGAGTGCGATTTACCGGCGGGCCATTAATTATAAACGTATGAAATTATCCGGCCACGGAAAAAAATATCAGCAATGACTTGTCGAGTCATTTCATGGAAGTCTAAGTCAAGTCTCAAGTCATGAACAGCAAGTCAAAGTCAAGGAAAGTCTTTTATCACTGTTAATCAAGCAAGTCACAAGTCCTCAATCTGGCCACTTAAGTCTGACTTCAGTCAAGTCACTCGACTCGAGTCCCGCATCTCTGCCATGGCCTGAACAGGCTAACGTTATGTTTGGTTCGTCAGCTAGCTAACTAACGCTAGAGTTAGCTATCGAATGCTAGCTAACCGAATGCTAGCGTTAGCCGGCGAACGCTAACAGCCGTGGCAGTGATTAAAACATATGAACAGAAACACTTGCTTGATAACTTACCTCATTATGTTTCAAAAGAATAAACAAGACGGCGCAGCAGTGGAGTCAGCAGGCCGCCCTCAGTGACCCGGCGTGTGCGCTGGCTGCTGAGCGGGAGAGACTGAATGTTGCTACTGCGCATGCACTCTTCTTCTTCTTCTACTTCTTCTTCTTCTTCTAGTTCTACTTCTTCTTCTTCTTCTACTTCTTCTTCTTCTACTTATTCTACTTCTACTACTTCTTCTTCTTCTGTGAATGTGCAGTGGGAGTGAGACTGTGTTGGCTTCTTATTGTTGCAAGTGAGCTTAACTCTAAATAAAGTAATCTGCACTCTAAACTCTAAGTATTTTGCGTTTTTCACCATGCAAGTAACTGTTACTTAATAAATACCATGTGCATATTGTTGATAACCGTGTAAAGTTAACTGATGTATGTCAGGGCAGCTATTGGATTTTCCACCTGGCTCAGTGTTGTGAAACCTCCCCTCAAATCAGATTGAATTGGAACCTCTCCATTCCTCCTCTTCTAAAAGACCTTTATTTAGCTAATCTCCTGCCTTCGTATGAAATCATAAGCAAAAAGCGGGCGAATCGGTTCACCTTTCAGCAACTCGGCTGACTGGGATTAATCCTGCTATTAGCGTGCGAGGTGAGCCTCAGAGACGTGCCGGTTGTGAAAGCACTGATAACATCCAGCTGAGACGATATTAGTCAGGAGTCATTTGTAACGGATTGAATAGCTCCTTTTGGGAATTGGCTGCTTTTAAGATTATTGTTATGGCAGGCTCCGCTGTTCTATCAGAGTTTCATTGTCTAGGAAAAAAAGAGAGAGGTCACACAGAGGTAGGCCATGTGAAATAACAATTGCGAGTCTCATTTCCACACAGACGAGATGCCCTCCCTCAAGAGGCCCTGAATCAAGAACTGGCGTCTGTTCTGGGGGATCTGTCCAAAGTATCTGCCAATTCTGTCCTTGCTGCTTAATCGAGAATCTTTACAGTAGAGAGCCTTCGAACCATTAATGAGCAAGGGAGCAGCCCAGAGAGCTGGGCAGGGATCATCACTCAAATTCAAGATATAGCAATATAAACCAGATCTAGCGTGATAATTAGTGAGCGGTAGAGGTGCTGGTAGGTAGATTGTTTTTTAAAAACTTTAAGCAGAGTTAGGCTTCAGTCTTTATTTTAAGCTTAGCTATATATTGTTAGGTGGAGCATAGGGTGTGAAATTCTGCAAATGTCAATGACACTCAACTTTCTTCACAAGGAAATAAATGAAATAAACTGATTATTAGATTCACATCACAATTGTGAACACAGCCTAGTTTTTAGAAGTCAGCTTTCAGACTCTTTCCCTCTCTCTGTCTTCCCCTTCAACAGCCGCACATAGAAGTCATCAGCTTATTTTGAGGAATCCCATTTTCCAGGGAGATTTACGGAGCTATTTTGGAGTCTATCAAACCAGAGGTGTGTGAAGATACTCTTGCTCTGCTCTGGCTTTGATGAGAGAGGACGTCTTTCCCATGATTGCTTTAGGGGATCTCTCAGCATGTTCATTATAGGTGTTTCGCAGTTGCTTAATTTTTGGGGAATTCAGACTTAACAGTCGAATATATGAGTCCCTGTTGTATTGATGCTGCTCAGTACATTGGTCTGTAATATCACAATGATGTATTGAGTTGTCAACACACTCCCAAGACAGATGATAAAACAGTGCTCTTGTGCAAACAAACTTATTGATTTTGAAGTCATAGTAAATTAGTTTTAAAGAAAATGACTTTTTCATGATAGGTATTTTTCAGGCAGGGGAGAGAGTGACAGGTTGGTCAATCCTTCTGAATGTGTTAAAGAGAAAGTCATGCTTTATTTAAATGCATTTGTTTCTCAATGTTTGGACCACATTGCCCATGACATGTGTTTTACATGACCTTCTTTTTATGTCGCATTATTTGCCGTTAGTAGAATTGCTAGTACAGTGAATTAGGTTGTGGTGGTTTATTGGAGCAGGTCATTTCAAAGACACATACAGGATCGTGGTTGCTTCTTGATTGCAGCATACACATGATATTTAACCTTGAAATGTTGGTTTGGGATTTACCCGTGCCTGAAAGAGCAAGAATCAAACACCTTCAGGGAATCTTTTCAAATTTAGAACAAACATTCATTAAGGCTCAAGGATGAACAAGGATCAAGAATTCGATTTTGATGGTTAAATGTCAAGGTCCCAAAGCAGATTTTTGGCCATAACTCCTCAAATCATATTCTAACTATAATAAAATACACTAAAAGAAATTAACACTTACTGGACTATGCCTTTTTTTAAAGTTGTTAAAATCCTTTCTGACATACCACTTACTCAGCCAACCTGCCATCAGACCGTACAAACCTCCCCCAGCTTTTATTGTATCATCACAGTTGTTAAATACCCCGACAATGAATGGGTGAAGGAAAACCGCTCCCACATCTGCAACATTTGTCTGTTTTATTGGAAACACTGGAGGCTTTCCTGTTCGCCCAGTCTGAGACCTATGAAGAAACCAATAGTTGTTTTCACAGATACTGAAATTGGGTCTAGTTTGAAAATAGCTCCAAACCAAAACTTCGCTCTAATGGAAGTATACCTTAAAAGACCTGTTTTATAGGATTAGGTTTAATCTGACGCTGTGAACCCGGCTCTATTCTCAGGCTGTGTCTGTCTACAGGCATATGAGTTGGATTGTCTTCACGTGCACATCCATGCGTGTGTGCGTGCTTGCTTGCCCATGCCCAGTTAAGCACCATGAGACTGCTGATTTGGGCTTTTTGGATTAAAAAGTAGATTGTGTTCCTTGGAACAACCTCAAACTTCCTGTGAGCCAGTGTGGAGATTGGAAAGGCCTTGCTAATTGATACAGTTTCCCCTCAGTCCTCTAACTGAAGGCCCTGCTGCAGAGATAAAATGTTCTTTATTCTCTTTTTTTCCATCACTCTTTTCCTCTTCATTGCCTATTTGACCCAATTTATCAGTGGCAGATAAAACCCAAACAAATCAGAGCAGTCACAGCTTCAAACTCGCTGCCCTTTGGCTGGCGTCTGATCCGCTCTTCTCTGACGCTGTCTTTTCCCCTCTCTCCTTCGCTTTGATCTTCCCATTCAGCATTTCTCCCTCTTTTACAGCCTAACAGATATCAAGTTCTGATGTTCGATTGGCCATAATTTCTTCCGCACATTGCATGCACAAAAACTCACCTCAGACAGAGGAGAGATGAGTTAAATGTGATGTACTTGATGCAACTAAATCCTGCCTCTACTTGTTAATTATCATTCATAACATGAATGCAGACAAACGAGAAACTATAATCCAAAAAAGACATTGGCTATATGTTTGGCTTGTTGATGAACAATTCAAGTCTTGAATGTTTTGTTTGTAAATTGCTCACTATTGCTGATCGATGAGATATTTGTGTGACCAGGATCTAGATTTCTACTTAGGCCTCATCCTCACACATTTTCACATCCAAAAAATGTCTGTGCTTGCTCACTCACACATGCCTTCACATGAAAACATCACATGGCGTCCTACCAACAAGGTTGGATGCCCATGTAATTGGGTGAGAGGAATCATGTTAGTAGCTTTGAACCCCCAGCCATGTCCTGCCGGCTTGGTCTGATACCGCCGTTCCAGCCACTTAACTGCCCCAGAGGGGATAAACACTCAAGCTCAGGCTCTTACAATCTTTTCCCTGCAAAGTGTTTTGAAGTGCCAATGCTTTACAGTTGACCTGCAGTAGCTAGCATTTACCTCTGGACCAGCACAGGCTTGGCTTTAGGATCATGCCTTTCTCGAGTGCTCTTTTTTCGCAGTCAAAACATAACATACTTGACTCGTGTGCTGTGTTTCCCATGGGTCTACAGCCTGGGAAGTTTACAACACGGCTAAGTAGCCATAAAGGGATTTGAAGGCAGGTTTCTTTCATATAAACTGTAGAGGCAGCTGTAGATGAGAGCGAGGAAGGCTTTTTAGCACTTGGGAAAATGATGGTGCAGCCAGGCTTAAAATATTATAAGACTATAATAAGATAATTGTTGTAGTGCTCGTATTTCTTGCCCCATCAGACTTCCTTTAAGTGATATTGCAATGTTCCCAGTACTTGGAAATTAAGTAACAAAACTACAAAAATAGCACCCAAGGTGTTATAAGCTGAAATTATCCTTTGAGTCATTTCTCTTTGCCTCTTTCCTGCTTGTAGAGAGGGTATAGAAACTGATATGAAGGCTTGGCTGGGCACAAATGTGAAATTATCATAAGAGTCTAACCTGGACAATTTCACTCTCAGTATTCCTTTGGCTCAAACTCACAACTATATGCAGTGTCTCTCAAAACAACATTTTGTAGGCTCCCTCGCTTATGGACCTGCTGCTTTTTGTCCTCGTGAATTTGCCTGAGCTGCTGTCTTATGCTTGAAAATATGCGAGAGACAACACTTCTCAAAACCTTTCCAGTCATTGCACCTTGCCACAGTTCTGCTGGCATCTCCACACATCAAAACAGATCTATATATAAATGTTGATTTGTGCGCTTGATATTTTGGTATCTCTATCTCATCCTCTAATCCAGGCTTAGTCCAGAAAGTGGACCAGCGCCTCCCGATCGCCAACGAGTACCTGCTGCTGTCGGGCGGGGCCCGGGAGGGAGTCCTAGACCTCAACCCTGAGGACCTGGGGGACTATGCCAAAGGGGCCGATTTTGACTTGGACTTCACCCTGCTGGTGCCTGCCCTGAAGCTCCATGACCGCAACCAGCCTGTCACCCTGGACATGAGACACTCCCCACCCTGCCACTCATGGCTCAGCCTCCGCCTCTGCGACTCCAACATCTTATCCCGCTGGAGCATCTGCTGCCAGGAAGAGAATGGACTTCCCCCCGAGGAGGATGAGGAGGATGAGGGCGAAATGGGTGAGGAGAAAAAGTGGGCTAATGAATGCAAGGACAGAGGAAGACCAGCAACAGAGAAATTGGTCAGGAAGATGAGGAAAAGGGGGGACAAAAAGTGAAAGGATGACGTAAGAACTGAAATAACAGCTGCAGGGATAGGAAGAAAAGTAAAGGACAAAGTGAAAGGGTAAAATATAAAGATTAGGTGCAGACAGGAAAGAGGAGTGGAGCAGACAACATTGAGGGTACTGTAGCAGTGCAGGGTGGGAGGTGGGGGACTGATTCGTTCTGATTTCGTTCATGGTTCACTCAGATAATTTGATGCATGATGTTGTGGTTGCAATTTTGCCCTGTGCACTGCAGCAGGGGACCCGCTGTTCCTCAGATAGGGAAAAAAAAACCCACTGGAAATGATCACTAAAGCATTTGTGGGTTGAAGAATCAAAAGTTCAAGATTACACAGCAGCTCCGCGATTACACAACAACATCAATCCACCACATGCTGGTGGGTGGGAAACTTGCAAGATGAGAAAAAGTAATGACATTTATTGATACTAATGTTTTTAATTTCTAACAATTGGTGTAATACATTTCCCACAGGATCTTATGTTGCTGTGTTTGTGGTGGCGGGGAAGTGGTGGTTTAGTGTAAACGCATCACACCCAAATGCGACTTAAAGGTTGAAAAGGGGGCAGAAGTGTTATGAAATCAATTTTTTTCTTCACCTTTCTTCAGCATTATAAGTAAACTATATACTTCTTTTTCTCAGAAGTTCCAAATCCTAATATAATTTATTTGCAATACCTATGAAAAAATATAACAAATCTCACAATTTGGTAGAATCAGCAACTCTATTTTCGCTGGATAGACCACTCACATGATTAATGGAGAATGAAAATAGTTATTATCATTCAACATGGATTATTTTTGTAGTCTACTTAAATTCTAAAACATTCTGAGGTCACTTTTAGTGGAAGCCATAATGTCTAAACATCCTAAATCCACGTCCAAAATGGAAAACAAGTGCAGATCGCCACAATAACGGGCAGTGTTAATGCAGGGATATGTCGTATAGAGAGGGAGCCACATAGCTGGTGTAGCAGGAGAGTGAACCATCAGCCTCGACAGGCGAGCTCAACAAAAATGAAACCTGACTTTTCAATCTGCACCAGTGCTGCCACATCATCAAGATACTATTATACAATCACACCCAGAACCAAGAACTTAGTGTGTGACGTAAATAACTGCATGCCAAAGCCAGCACAGGATTTACTCCCAGGTTGACTGCAGGCTGCGACAACAGGCCAGTGTTTTTATTTTAGTGAAACACAGTCACAAAAGGCTGTTGCATTAAAGATTTTATTGGATCTGTAGCTGGTGTATGATGATTTAAGAGGCTGGCCCCAAATCAGCCACCATTTGTAAATTATGGGAACGACAGCATGGCAAAGAGATATTGATCACCCATCATACAAACAGAGAAATAACCATTCCAGGATCATAGTACACTACGTAATGAGGGTTCGCACGGATTTCTGACCTGAATTTTCAGATAAAAATCCTGGAAAATAGTTTCTTAAAGATCCTAATAGTTCTGCAAATTAAACACTAAACAAGCCGTCACAGTAAAAATCTGTCACAGTAGCTGTTATTCACAATGTCTATGTCTCTTACCTCCCCCTTTAGATAAAGACTCCATCCCCTCCCTGGGCTCTCCTCACTCTCTGGATGGATGCTACTTCTCTCCCACCCTGGTGACTGACTGGTTCTGGGGCGTGGTGAGCGAGGCCATCGAGGAGCTCAGACGCAGCCCCCAGAGAGGCATCCCCTCTCCAGACCGACTGGAGAGGAATGGACCCCTCACCACCATCATCCTCCAGGTACAGATGAACACTGACATGATGATTAAAGACACTTGGACTCTCTTTTTGGAATGTTTCTAGAACAAAATCAATGTTGGAGTAGTATTGTAGCCAAATGTTAAAATATTTTTTAAGGAGGAGGATTATTTTCCCCCACCATCTCTTCTCTGCAGGCGGGCTCGAGCCGGGTGCTGTATGATCTGCTTCCTGTGGTGTCGTTCCGGGGCTGGCCCGCTGTGGCCCAGGGCTGGCTGACTGCCAACCACTTCTGGGATGGTAAAATCACAGAGGAGGAGGCCATATCTGGCTTCTATCTGCTGCCGTGCTGCTCCCCGCTGGGTGGCCGGCCTGACAGGGAGTGGAGGCTGGCATTCTCACGCAGCGAGGTGTGAATCGTCCCTTTTTTTACTTGGAATAGCTTTTTAGGCATCAGGATATTTTTTTTCCATCTGATTTTGTTTGTGTGTTCTTTTGCCATTTTTCAGTTTCTTTTCTATCCCCATTAATTTCACTCTATTTCATAGTGAATACTTAACAATTTGGTTGTTTCTCTGTTATGACCAGGTTCAGTTGAAGAAGTGCATCCCCTTCCCTATGGCCCAGGCTTTCCAAGCAGCCAAGGCAGTACTGTCTCGAATCCTGGCTCGTCCTCGTACAGGCCTAAGCCTCTACCACCTGCGTACCCTCCTTTTCTGGGCCTGTGACCGACTTCCTGGTGCCTACCTGTCCTGCTCCGATTCCGACACCACTGGTCGCCTCCTCCTTGGTCTCCTGGACGACCTGGCTCATTGCATCCTTGGTAAAAATTGCCCAAACTACTTCCTGCCCCAGTGCAACATGTTGGAGCACCTGACTGACAGCCAGGCGCTGCTAGTCGCCAGGAAACTGGCGCACGTGCGCTCAGATCCCAGTGAGCACCTCCGGGCGGCTCTGGACCAAGCCCAGCAGGCAGGCCAGCTGAAGAAGGACCTATCAGCGAGCACCAACGGCCACGGCTCCCCCGGGCATCACCCAACCAATGGTATCATTTCGCCCTCAGAGGACAAGCTGGCGCAGCGGCTGCAGCAGCTGGTCACAGAGAACCCTGGGAAATCCATATCTGTCTTCCTGAACCCTGACGATGTCACTCGACCGCACTTCCGGATCGATGACAAGTTCTACTGAGGCACACGCGCTGCAGAGAAGACGTGTTAAAAACGTGTGCGTTTAGCTCGCAAACACACTCCGAGACGTCACACCAGAGGGGCCGGGCCTCAAAACGCAGGCGGCCTGAAACTGAGCACACTCCTCCTCCTCACCACCTCCCTGAGGCCGAACAAAGCCTTGCTGCTCGACTCTTTAAACCAAAAAATAAAACATGTCCTACTACTGACAGATGTTGTCCATTCGAGTGGGCATCGCACAACAGACATGATGTCACCGAGCTGTTGCCACGGAGACGGCCCTCTCCTAACGAGCTGGCCTTAACAAGACTTATCAGCTGGTGCTACAGAGACGAGGGCCGGCTTAAGACATGTGAATGAAATCCTGAGATCAACGCAGAAAGAAGACGTGCGAGCATCCGTGTGTGTGTGTGTGTGTGTGTGTACATTTCACATATTAACTTCTAAAGATTGCTGCATCTCTCTTCTCTTTTATTTCAGATGAGATTGGCGATGGCTGAATTAGAAAGGAAAACCAAGGTGTGGCTGATGTAACTGAATGTAATGTTGTGAGGAGTCTTTGAACAAAGAGTCTTTGCTCTTTCAACTACAGTGTAGCTGTTTCTTTGACCCCACGCCTCAATTAATGAGATCCTTTTCTTTCTTTTTTTTTTGTCTTTCTCAGGTATTTATAGTACTAATCATTTTTTACTTGTATGATTCCATTTTAAGGTCTTTCACTAGTTGCAATGCCACTTACATTTCATTGGGTATTTGAATGTACCAAAGTTATATCAAATGTTTGAGCAGTTTTGCAAAACGCGTCTTGCGTGATCCTAAACCTCTTCATTTGGATTGATCTTTTGAATCATGGCCAGAATGTTAATTTGCCTTCTCTTCTGCAAAAGGCCCGGTCACACCAACTCAGATCGGTCACGTCAAGTTCATCTTGGTGACTGATAGACGACATTTGAGGGGGACAGAGAATTCGAGAGTCATAGAGGAGCTTGTTCGTCGTCTTGCACCATCCAGGTACAAACTGCTCCACTAAAGATGGTTTACAGTTACGAGCCTGGAGTCGATGGTACAAATGTCTTATAAACGTATTGTCTGTCAGTGAATGAACTATTGAGCCTTCAAACTGGCTTAACGATCATGGGGCAGTTTTTTTCCCCTTTTCAGTATTTATATAGAACAAAATACTGTGTAACTGAGCGAGTAAAGCAGACCATCACAGAGCTCTTAAGACCGCCAAACACTAGACGAAGAATATCATCAGTTTCAGCCCACTTGACTACATCCCCAAGCTTCTAGAAACACACGTCCCACACACAGCCGCAGGTTAATATCACGTTGCCACTGTCTGGTGCAACTGGGCCTTGGAAACAGGTCATGACTAAAAAGAAGGAAAGAATTGCAGACGTAACTGAATAAAAATGGTTAATTGTAAGACAACAGAATGACATGCTCATACTGAACAAAGAAGTACGCTGTGTATGGAAACGATTAAATTAGCAGTAGTGCATTGTCTGGATTGAGCAGAAAGAAAATCTGTCGAGCCACTGCTTTTTGGTCTATTTATCCATCATAGTCACAACTAAGTCGAGGTACTTTCCCCTTTAAAACAAAGCAAAGGTCCAGAAAGTCAAACGGCTTGTCTTGTCTGCTTTCTGTTGAAGAAAGTTTGTGTCTGGTTCTGACTGATAATTGTCCCATATCTCCTCTGCTTGGTTGGTCTGTTTTAATGAGTTTTGTTTGTGTGCGTGTGTTTGTGTGCGAAAATACGAGAGACGAACCACGCAGCAGGACGCAGACAAGACACCCAGATGTTGCCCGTCGAATTATCCCCTCAGTGGGTGTGTGTTAGTCACTGGGCCCTATCGTTTCTCAGCAGACGGAGGCTACCCATGGGGGGATGGAGGGATGGATAAAGGGAGATGGGCGCCTCTCTGTTCTTTTTGAAAACTTTTGAAGTGGGAGAATGAGCCTTGCGGGGCCTGGACAGCTGCCTCTCTTGGGGATTGCTGCTGTTCCTCTCCCCCAGTTTTTTTTTTTCCTCTGCTGGTTTCTCTCATTTCATTTTTTTCCCTTTATTTATTCAATTTTTTCCCTTCTCTCATCCCATCTACATTTCTCAACAGAGGCAATCTGTCCTGTAGTCGCCACAGAAAGCCTTATGTTTACAAACTACTAATGCCACTTAGCTAATTTGATTACAAGCTGTACTGCTAGTTAATGATGTAGTGGCGACAACAAGTATAACCAGACAAGTAGTCATTTCCTTTATTCTTCTCACATTAGTTTTACTTCATGAATTTGAGACTTAAAGTTGTCTAAAAACACTGCGATCAAAACGTTGGGTCAAACTTGGATGTACCGCAAAAAACACTAAAACTTAAGGTTTACATAGAACACAAGGTGATGTGGGTTCGTTCAGTTTATTTCTTTCTTTATTTTGAAGCTACCGTTGGAAGGTTTTTCCCTCAGACATGTATGAATTTCTGTCTCTCACAGCTCTGAGTCTGCAAATGTCATGCTCTTACTACTGAATGGATTTTTTTAGAGCATCTGTCTGTGCTGCTGGTGAATACGTATGTGTGAGAGTGCGAGTGAGTTTCGAATCCGAGGAGAAACCAAAGTGTGACGTTGAGGGTGTGTATCCAGCTGCCGGGTGTCAGAGGATCGAGTGGCGTTCTCAGCACTTTTGTACAAGACGGGCCTGATTGTTGTTCCTCAAACTGTACAACTTTAAAAAAAAAAGTCACAAGTGTTTATTATTGGAGACTATAGTTGTTAATGTGAAGGTACTTTTCGTGTTTGACTGAGAATGTGTCAGCAGTGCGTCTCACTTCGTACCTTAAATGGGCCTAGTTAGAGATTACTAGACACTGGAAACAATCAATGTTCTTCTTGGAATTGTACACATGAAATCGCTGAGGCGAGTATCCTGCGTGGGTTTATAGATATGCAATCAGAGCCCCCTGTGGAGAGGCCTGTCACTTGCAACGCCTCCTCCATTTGTGCTTCAGTGTGTAGATTTACAGTAGTTGTTAAAAGAAGGCTCCAAAACATCAGCTTTCGCCCAGTTTCTAATTCTCACAGCTTTTCTGATGTGCTGCAACTTCTGACGAATTAAACTGACGATTTATTGACCCGCTGGGGAAAAATACCAGACTAAATCCAATGAATGTACCCACGGAGAACAGTCTCCTTATCTCCACAGAGGAACTGGAAGTGCTAAGATAAAAATCTGTAACGGAATCACTTTACACTCTCTTCTCTTTTATGAGTCCCTTTTTGAAAAATAATAATAATTTGCTCTGTATCACGAATGATTTGCTGTATTTATTACTGTTATTTTCTGGGGGTTTATATTGATCAAGCTTTAGCATGAAATAAATCACTGCATTTCAATTCATATTGTCTGGGAATCATGTCTGTCTTAAATTTTGCACTGTCCAAAAAGCTCTTGCTCTGTGCACTTTCACAGTTGCCGATGGGCTGGAGTCTATGTCAAAGTTTGCAAGACATGTTTGAGCCAACAGAGGGCGCTCCAGGACAGTGTTTGCACTGCACGTGAGTCAGCTCTGCACTTGCACAGTTCAGAGAGAAAGAGGATGCTCCATGTCTCACACATGCTGTCAGTATGAAAATAAAGACTTTGATAGTGTTAGAACTGCCTTGAAAGAGAGAGAGTTACAACAATTGCACAGCTTGTAGATAAGAGCTGATTCTGAAAATGTGAGTCTAATAAAATACCCTCTCTCGCTCACGGAAAGGTCATAGGTCAGCATGAGGATCTGTGTTTTGCTTGAGGACAACTAGAGTGAAGCTGCAGGAGAACTCACTCGTCATCACTGCACCATCACATAGAGTCGTCAGGATCCATGGCTCGGCCCTCACCAGAGATGATGTAAGTCAGTTAAAGAACCCTGAATGGAAAAGTGACCCATGAGCCAGTTGTCTGCTTTGTAACAGCAGAACAGGAAACACAATCTGCCCAATGGTTTTGTTTGCACTTTTTCGCAAGCACACGGTTTGTGACACTGTTGAGCTCATGCGGCGTTTGTTACTGTATCCACATTATTGTGAACTAGCCTGACGTTTGATCAAGTGCATGATGGGAGGAGCTGACGGCGTCCGATCACTGTGCTCTGGATTGAGCTGTTCGTTACCACAGGAAGTTTATCACCGTCTGTATTACCATAGCACATTCAAATCACAGAATCCATTTGACACTTAGTAGAAGGGTGGTGCATGGGCCAGGAGAAAACCCATTAACTTCAAGACCAATGTCTTCACCCTGTTTTAATCACATCAGATAACTCAATTAAAACCAAACTTACTGAAAAAAACTGGCACTTGGACAAATGTCTGATAAGAACTTCCTAAAATGATAACCCATCTTTGAGAAAAATGTATTTGACGTGTATTTTGACTTTTTAAAAGGAGGGATTTATGACCTATATTGCAACCAGCCACTAGGAGGGATCAAGATACTTTGGCTTTACATTTTGGAGCTCTCAATAATACCTCATTTTCATATAGTCTTTCTGGTCACAATACACGTATATGGAAGATGCTGATTTATGGAGGTAATCGCTCTCCAGTTGCCACAAAGATGGCTGCCCGAGTGATGAGACTTGCTTTTGTGAACTTTGACGATGTCCATCTTTAAACTCAGCCTTCATTTTCATGTCAACTACGTACCTAAGTCTTTGTTGTGTCTCACATTGACAAAATCTGTCCACAGAGTATTTTTACACATACAAATACATACATTTTATTATAGTCGTTTACACTAAGAGAGGTTCTCTCTTAAAAATGAACCACATTCTTTTAATAGCCACCAAAAGAAAATGCCTTTACATTATTAAACATCAACTAATCTATGAGTGAAAATTTTTTTCCTACTTGATCTTTCCTGACCTGTCATCACACTGTGATATTTTGCAGCATCACCCAGTATTTATGGACTTAGGGAGCCTCTCTTCCGATCTACATTGCTTATCAGTTGTTTCTTTTAAATCAGGGGCAGGCGGTCTCTGCTTTTGCATAATGGCTCAAGATGAAACACCATGCTCATTATTCGGGGAGTTAAATCGCTGATGACGCGTAAACGACAGCACACACACACTCAATAATACAGAATACTAATGCTGCGTGCTTGATTTCATGAAGTTCGACACAGCTATGAGATCATCATTTACTTGTCCTTACAAAAAAGCACTGGTATCATTCTCGATAAAGAAATCTGCACTTTGAGCCTTCTTAGATTTATTCTTTTGAGAGAAGCTTCAACAAAGAGCTGTTGTGTGTTTTATTCATCAGAGGAAGTTCATGAGGTGCCGTGCAGACACAGAGGACACAATCCAGACTGCTGCTGCACACGCTGACAAAACCAATCTGTAGACGCCTATTAAGCCAATTATGAAACCAGGAATTTGCTGGATTGTTTGACTTACAGATGTTACGGGTCCACGCTCTGACCTCATGAGCGAGTCAAGCTCGAGCTTGAGCTAAACAAGTTTCTTCTTAGTCTTTGTTCATAGTGAGAACGGCGAGGCAAAACCTAGATCTTTTTCAGGATGATTTATTTTTAACTTTAGCAGCTGGCCAGTCAGGTGTTGGACTAATCCTCCACTTTAGTCCAGACTGCACTGACTGTTTCATTGTCAACATCCATTGTCACTCACTTCCAAGTGAATATTGGACTACTTTTTTTTGTGATTTATATTTTAGAAACTACGCTGACAACCTCATGTTAGCTGTGCCCACATTCAGGGGCCACATCCCTCAGAGGCTGCATTTGAAGTCTGTCTATGGCTGTTTCATTTCGAAGGCTTCTTAAAACGTGGCTGACAGATGCGTCCTTCCATTCTCGAGCAACCAAGGATTCAACAGGTGGACCCTTTGCAAAACCTGTCGCAGGATTCATAGCTCAAAGCAGCTAATAACGCAAAAGTAAAGGTGCGTCAAGGTGGTAACGCAAATGGAAAATTCTATGTACGTATACAGTCTCATTCTGATTCGGCCCTCACTCTCTAATAAGTCTAAATAAAATAAAAACTTGATATGTCAATATTGTGGTCACAGCGAAAAAGTATGTGTGTCCCTTATTCCTCTACCTGCTTGTTGAGCGTGTCCTCACCATCATCTCTTGCCTGTGATTGCGACCTAATCTCCCTTGTAAATAGGCCACTGTAACCTCAGCCCTCGGGCAGCCTATTAGTTTGCATTTGTGGCCACACAGTGTGTGTGTGTTGGTGTGAATGAGGGCAGGCTGTAACCCCTTAGCAGTGGACTGTCACCGAGAAACTAGGGCTGAACGAGGACATGTGTTCACCTGAGACGCACACACACAAACAGTAACAGTATTCAGTGCCAGTGGGTCATTGTAAACTCACCCTGTCTTCCTAGTCACTTCCTGCATAAATTAAGAGGTTTTGTGTGTGTGTGTGTGTGTGTGTGTGTGTGTGTCCACCCCCCCACGAAAGTATTGTTAGAAAAGCAATCCCACAATTCTCAGCGCAGCGATCATAAATTCATAACCTTGACCTAGACACGTTTAGGCGGAAAAGCTGGATGCTGCAACCTCTTTATCGCATCACTTATCTAACGGACTTCACACATAATGTTTTCGTGTGTGTGTGTGTGTGTGTGTGTGTGTGTCCTACTAGTTTCTGTTGACTGGTCAGTGCAGTACTTTCCTGTTTATGAATCTTTAATTCTTTCCACTCAGGACACCCCCTGCGAACGCACACTATTGCTTTATACGCACGCTCTCTTTCTGCCTGCATGACCATCAGTGTGTGTGTGTGTGCGTACGCACGTGTTTGTCGAACTTGTTCCAATGCCAGTGTGCATTAATCTCCATTACTGAATCACGTGTAATATGAGGGGGGAGAGAAAGAGAGAAAAAGAGAGAGAGAGCCCTGCATCTGTCTCTGCGTGCAGATCACACATTACGGGTGTCCGGGTGTTTCTGGCTGAGCTGGAAAGCAGCGACTCTTCATTACAGCCCCCCCATTGTAGCCGACTGTAAATCTCACATCATTGAGCTGATAGTTCTCAGTTCTGATTGACCGGTACACTGAGAAGTGGTGTAGAAGCTCCTCATTTACGTACTCTTCTCCTCTACACCTGCAACACTGTCTCCTGCACGTTTTACTTTTGCCACTGCAGAGCTGCTTAAGGTAAAGAGCTGCTTACTGACAATTCAAGTGTTTGACCTTCTTCAGGAAACACCAGCTTTGTAAGTCTCCTGAATAAAATGCTACTCATGGTATACAGTGTTAGCTGTATTTAACTAAAAAGCACTTAGCAGCCAGCAAGCCCCCATTTATGTTATGTTCTGATGGTATTGTGTCTAGGGATATTCGAAGGGCCTAACACTGCGCTGAGCAGGGTGTGTGGTGTGGCAACACAAGTAAACAAACTAAGGTTCGGGTAAAAGGAACAATAATTTATCATACAAAATAACGCCACAGGGAACAAGGGAACTGTGAGCGGTGCCCAAGCAAAGAAATCATAAATCAAAACGTGCAGTCGTGATCTAGTGCAGCAACACTCTATGGCACCTACCCCTTACCTAGTGAATTGTAACAGGTGTAAGGCTACTTGGTGGAAATGTAAACCCATGGGCGTCTTACTTGTTCACCTTTCCAGCGAACAACACAGAAACAACAGAAAACCAACAAGCCAACCAACAACAGCACCTCTCCCTCCCTCCCTCCCTCTCTGGCTCTCTCTCTCTCAAAAAAAGGGGCCTCACACACAAACGCAGCACACATATATAGGTGGCGGTGGCGCCCTCTGATTGGTCAGACAGGGGCAGTGGGATGATTGGACACAGGTGGGTTTGAGTGACTGAGAAAACAGAGGAACAGAACAGAACACGTCCTCAACACTGACACAAGAGGGGGACGTAAAAAATGGGTATTTAAAAACAAACACTGTCAATGGCCCCAAACTATCCATTGTTCCAGGCTAATGCTACACAAAGAGAACTTAACACAGGAAGCATTGATTAAGATGGTCGACATTTGGACACAATCTTTGCCATGTAGCGACAGGTCCCATCAAAGGTCCACTCAGCTTTAAATTCCTCAGATGTCTGGGGCCACATCTGAGCCGCGGCCCCTGAGTGCTGTGAAATATCCGACGGGTCACATTTTCACTGACTGTCCGTGCTAAGCTAAAACTAATCTCCTTGTGACAGGTCGTGAATGCCTTATCCAAATGAGGCCCACCATATGTTTGGCTCTGAGCTGAAGTGGAGACGCCAAAATGATTTTTGTGCCTATTGATTTTTCACACTGTAGTCGATACAGTTGACTTTGTGGCTCGGCCAGTGGAACGTAAAACCACCGGCCTCAAGTTTTTGTCGTGTTCAGGC